TCTTTTTTATTCGAGGCATTCAATGTCAATACCACGCCCTTCAATCATTTCTTGTTACTCTATCATGTACGATGAAGAAGTCACTCGTATGAATATTTAAACGTGATTAATATAGAATTTCCTACTAGTTTCTCATCACTTGTCATACATTATTGAAACAATATAAAAATGCATAGAAATAGAAAAAAGACATAATCTTTTCTTTTTTTTTTTTTGGTATAAAATATTCAACACTTTTTTTTTTGTTTGTTATCATATGAGTATTATAAGAAAGACATATCTACAATCTTGTCTAAGTTCATCATAATTACGTCATCGAACAGAAAATTCTATCAACAATAAAATAAGTAAACACATCGATGCGTATACACTTAGAATCATCATCAATCGTCATTGCCTTTCTTCAGATTAGATAGTTTGCTATGAGCGGATATATTGTTATAGCAACACTTCAAGATGTGGAATTTTTTCTCATAGTACAGTAATACTTGAGAAAGACAAAACAATCGATATAGCTACTATGAATGTTTCAATTGATCACCAAAAAGAGCTCAAGGCTGACGATAGTTACAGTTCAATAAGGAGAAAAGAAATTCTCTCGTACTTAAAAGGCTTCCTTGTGTATGTATGTGTGTGTCTCTTTCTTTCTCGTTCATTCATTCATTCATTCATTCACTCTAGCATCTGCTCAATTCTAATTATCACTTAAATAAGAAACAAAATGACGTAGTTAAACAATTTCAATTCGTTCATTTAATGTCTATGTTTATCGCGTGAGCTTCTAAATTTAATTAATGATGATGAATGAATACGTTTGCTATAAGTATAAAGATGAACGAGTGGGTGGGATTTAAAATAAAACAAAACAAAAAGAAAGAAACAGTCAGAGCAGATGGACAACAGTTCACATGCATCAAAGTATATATGACAGTCACGTAGAACGGTGTATTGTCTAAATAAATCTAATTGACGAAAGAACGCGTGTGCATATCATTGTTCATTCTTCATCTTCATCTTCATTCTATGGACAGCTGTCGTGCGCATAAACGTATATTCATCGATCGATCAGTCTAAACACTCATCTATCTATCTATTATGACAAATCGTTCACACTATCGTCATTCACAACAATCATGAAGATTATGATTATTAAACATGTCTGGTGAAGAATAAAGTGGAAAAAAAATAAATTTGAACATTACCTGACTTAATTTGTATAAATAAAATAATATTAAAAATAACTAATCGATAAATCCCATTCATCCGTGTGCCATTATATAAACTTAATGTTTCAATATTTCTCTACTTCTTTCTCGTGTGGATTTACTTTTCTTCTTGTAAAACTAAGAAGAACAAGTCTACATACAAGAAAAATGAATGATGGTTATAAGCATATAGAACGACGTGTCTTCCGCCTTCTTCTACTATACAACGATGACGATGACGACGACGACATACATACATGCATACATACAATCTTTATTTCTTCTCTACAGTAGTGAGAGAAAGAGAACGAAAGGAGAGAAAGAAACAGAAGAAAATGAAGATCACCATCGTAATGAGCGACAGAAGGGATAGAGAGAGAGAGAAGGAGATGAACAAGAAAAAAAAAAGAACAAAGTGGCACGCGAATCACTCGTATATAAAAAGCTTGATGATGAAGTTGTAGCCGACAAACAACTGTCCGGACGACGAATAAATGACCTCATCATTGCAAGACCTTTCTTTTTCAATATATTCAATGTACTTTTAGTCACGTCCGATATTTTTATTCTCATTTTTATTACATGTCTGAAAGTGTCTCACACCTTGTCTACATACATATAACAAAGGTAGATCATGATCAACATATTCAAAGCTTAAAAGATCCCATCTCATTCATTTATTTGAATTATTCAAGTAAAAGATGAAGTACACTTTACACCTTATGTACATATATTTAACAATCGACAATTAGTTTTTCTATTGTTTAATGTACATATATATATAGAGAACGATATATACATATATGTATGCATACACAAGATACGATAGATGAATGAAGTAATCAACAGATGGATAGTGGCGATCTATCATTCATTCACTCACCGTATTCCAAGTGTCTGTTTGTCCACCATCTTTATAATAAATCTAAAAAAAATGAATGACACGATTTATATTTAGAAAAATTATCACGAGTATGATCAGTAAGAATTAAATGAAAAATAAAGTTAGGACATGTACGATTAATTAATGATGTTCATCGTGTGTTGTCTCAGTCTTTGCACTTTGAGCATCAGTCTTCTCTGTTTCTTTCTGAACTATTGATTTATGAGATTTATCATCAATTGTTACATTTTCATTATCAGATTTTGTAGTTTCATCGTGACTTGATTGTTGTTCAGACACATTAGTTGTTGTTAAATTGTTGTGTTGTCTTGTATCAACACTATCCATTCGCACACTAAAATTAGAGACAATTAAAATTATTTGGTGTGATATTCAAAATTATTGAATGTAGTAAAATAAAACATACGTTGTTTGAGTGGGTAAATTTTGATCGACATCCATAGGATTGTCATCGGATTCTAAAATTTCTGTTCTTTGACTATCAGATGGTTCATCTGACACGGGTGGTACACTTGTGACTAGATTTTGATTTGACTCTTCAGGTTTGTTTTCTGTTTCATTCGAAGTTGAATCATCTTTAAGATGTGGGTTGAATGTTGTTTGTGATTCTTGTTTGTCATTCTCTTGATTTGATTGTTCACTGGTTTGCGATTTCTCTTCATTATTAGTCGAGGGTTCAGTGCAATTTTTAATTGCAGCCGATTCTGGATCGAAAGGTGTGAATTCCAATTCTTCAGCTTTTTTAATCCAAGCGTCATATATATGATCATCCCATAGGACAAACACAACCACTGGCATTGAACCAGCGTTTGTATAGACTGATCGAAGGGCAACTTCAGCACCATCATTTGCTGGCTATGAAATATAATATTACTTGTATTTATTTAAGAATGACTCGCACTTACATAACCAAAGATACCACAACTAATAGCAGTAAAACCTATTGATTCAAGATCGTACAAACTAGCTAACTGAAGTGCCGTTTTGTAACACGAAGACAATTCCTCGGCACATGCTTCTGCTTGATATTTGTCATATACAGGACCAGCTGTATTAATAATATAATATGTCGTCGCTGACATGTTATAACTTAGTAGAATACGTGAATGTCCAGTTGGTAAACGAACACCCCTTTCAACTTGTTTATGAGCTTTGCAAGCATTATAAAGGTCGCGTCCAGCAGCTCTATGAATTATTCCATCAACTCCAGCACCACCAGTCATACCTTCATTCGCAGCTATTATAAATAGAACACGAACGATCACATAGCTCTTTCTAACATTAAAAAAACAAACCGTTAACGATAGCATCGACTTTTGTTTGTACAATATCACCTTGAAGTATAACTAATAATGTTTGATGTTGATTAACAGAATAATAACGAGGCATGCGTTTTTTTGGATTTAATCTAGCTAATTGTAGTGAACCGTATCTTTTTTCTAGTTCATTTTTATTCCTAAACACATAATAATAATAGAACTGATATAAATTCTGTAACGAATTATCTTTAACTTACTTATTCCAATAATTCAAAACGCCTGGACCTTCTGTTGCTGAATGTTCTTGTTGGTTGGTAGTCAATGTTTGAGAAATTTGTTTTCCAAATCTATAAAGTGATGCCAGATATGTTTTGAATATTTTCTAAGATAAGTTTTTATACTAACAAACGCAAGAAATATGTGAAGAGAGATTGAAACAATTGTGAAAGATTAAAGCTGGAAATGTAACTATTAAAGAAAGATTTGTCAAGACATATGAGACATAACTATGAATTTCTTTTACTCTTCTTTGATGGAAATATTACTTTTCAATATATATTAAACTTTTTGATATTAATCGAGGATATTTACTAAGTCACATGATAAATGCTATTTACCTATTGTTTTGTTCCTTTGATGAATTTGTTGAACTATTTTTATCTTTGTTTGATGACATTTTCGGATAAATTTCAGTTACTGTAATTCTAAAATTATAAATACGAATGTAGATCGAATTGTCTGAAATGAATAATATAAAAATGTACATAATTGAATTTTATCAATAATTTCCGTTTATACAGGGAAATATGTTAATCGTCATGCAAAGTTATTTCTAATTTTCTTGTCATGTAGGAATAAAATTTAATTCAATAATCCAATAGGAAATACATGAGTTTGATTATAATCTACCAAACACGAAAAGAAATCTATTGTTTTTCATCGAAAATCACGTAACTACTAGGAAGATTGAATGTTCGTCTAGACGACAAACACAATACTTTTTAATATAAGTCAATTTTTCGGAGAAATTTTGAAAGCTTTCTTCCCACTAAGATAAATAAGAGAACATTATGTTGGTTTTTTTTTTGAAATAAATTAAAGTAGAAAAAAAAATCTTAAGCAAAGAAATGCAAATAGATACGATTAAGTGAGAATGGTAGTTGAGAAGAACGAACGGAGAACAAGTTTATTGGTGTATACTCAAATTGATGATAGATGTCGAGAAACATCGTCTAGTATTTGTATAAATATAATGAATTTTTTTTTGCAAGTTCATCAAATAAATTGAATACGATCATCTTTTTAATATTAAAACAGATTCTCAAATACGAATTTATTTTAATCAATATTACATTAATTCTTAGAAGCAAAAATGTATTATAAATACAGCGTAGGTCAATAAAATAAGATATGAAGTATACGACATACATATATTTAAAAATAAATTTTTGATTAAAAAACATCAATCTTTTTTACAGTAAGGTTCTGTTACAAACAACGAATAATAATTGGTACATATACTGGTTATGATAATTGTAAAATTTATTCTAGTGTTTATTACTCGAAAAAATATTTGTTGGTGGATGAATATATAAAGCCGGCGCTCGTTGTCTGTGACCTGGCCTTGCTGATGAGTTGGTTTGTAATTCGACGTTAATTTGATTGTGTTTAAATAAATATAGCAATAATTGTTTACATTCTTGACGAAGTGTTTTCGACGCTAAGAGATGAACATAAAATATTGAACATGAATTCAGAAAAATCAAAAAACTAAGTACTAAATAACGAATAAAATTTTCGATAGCTACACGATCTGAGGTCTTTGAGACATTTGCTGTAATAGTTGTATAAGCAGTATATATTGGATACCATATTGTTGATAGAAGATAAACAATTGCTTCACTTATTACTATAATCATCAATTGAATATCTTCTTTTTTCATTTTCCTTCGTGAATTTTCATTTCCATTAACATGCTCATCGGTTGCAGCAACACGAGCACGACTCTGTCGAATATTTCGAATAGCCCAAAACGAAAATATAATCATTATTGATAATGGAATAGAAGTAACAATAATTGCATAAAAACTATAAAAGATCTGATAAGAACCGCTGGTTCCACATTTACCACTTGATTGAACATTGGTATAAACCATGACATGTATTGGTATAAGTAACCACAGAATAATTGTTATAATCACCAGTATAATAGCTATACCACGATGATTCAGACGACGAATATAAGCATGACGTGAACATAGAGCAAATCGATCTACGCAACCTAACGCAACACTGAAACGTGACATCATCAAAAAGGCATGGGTTGTATATGCTCTGGCTTTACAATATGCTGATAAATATGAGGCTGGATCCTTTGCTAAATAGGAACCTGCGATGACCGGTGTAATACCAATTAGAATTACTAATAAATTAAAAACCGATGTTGCTTGAAAATAAACGGAACAGGAAATTTTACGAAGTTTTTTTTTTACAAAATATAATAAAATTAAGAAAACAACCAATAATACCCAATATGCTACATATGATTAAGACATAGCGACTTAAAATAAGTTGTGCCAATGTAAGATCATCCGTTAATGTCATTGATTTATTCTCTAAAAATCAAAGTAAGAAAAATAACATAGAATATATTCTAATTCACCGAAGTCATTTTTTACGACGATTCTAATCAAACTATAAGCAAAGAATACTTTTTATAAAACATACTTACCGATATTACCACACTTGAAGTTCAAATACAAATAAAATGTACATTATTTATACATGATAGATTCGTATTGATCTCTCTTTTTAGAATGTTAAAATATAGACTAAGTACGTCATTGTATTATAATGAGGAGATAAATATATTATGCTTGTTGTTAGTAAAAGATATCAATAATATAGATTCTCAACCGGAAACTACTTATAAATCTTTACTTATCTACGCAAAACGCCTCTATTCAATAAGAGCATGATATACAGATTAATAATTGCTCTTAAATCTAAAAAGAAAAAGAAAATGTGACAGCATCTTTGAATTCATCTGCGTTTAATTAATGATAAAAAATAAATATCCTAGATAATACGAATAACCTTCATTTCAATTAAAAAGAAACACGTAATTATAAAGTCATGCTATTTCATATATTGTTTAAAAGGAACATTAAAGACTGAAGTATTAAGTCATTTTAGAACCAAAAAAGTCTCGATTAGTGGTTTAATTACAAATAAGTACAACTATATATAGTTGACATTTCGATATTCTTTTTAAATGATGCATAAGACAGAATCACAATCGATTTTACAACAGACATATTTCGACGTATATTTACTTCAATAAAATTTCTTACAGAATATTTTCTAATTCATCATTCATATAATGAGAGGAAAAACTATTTTTAGTTATTTTTATTTCAAAAGTATCACAGACAAATGTATTTCGGAGAACAATCTGCTACTTAATCTCGTTTTCACCAACTCAGTATGTTGAGTATAGATTATTTTCGTAATAAACAAAATATCATTAGTCATGTGCATTACTTAAGCATGATAACCAAAATCTTAAATTCGCAAAAGAATTATTTATTTGACTAGACAAGAAAAATCAGATGTTTAATTATTTGAATTGTCACACACCATTTTACAAGTTGATAAAATGCAATAAATCTAACTGAAAAACAAGATATTAATAGAAACTTCGCATTTAAATTTTCATTAACAAACTCATTGTTCCATATTACGAACATTTAAACTGCCAGATCAAAGAATAGTTATAAATAGAACACGTTTTGTTCCAGATTCATTGATGCAAACGAAATTAACATACTGTTTTTATGGATATCTGTACGATACGATCAATATATTTATCGATATAATTTAATTTTTTCTTACAATATGCATTCTATCTGTTACAGAAAATAAAATTATATATACTTCTTTTGGTCATCAGTTGATCAAAAGTTAATAAGGCTGATTACCAGCGTTAATTTGTTATTATATAATTCAGTGAAAAAAAATTAATTAGTCTTAATAGTGGTCCAATTAATACATCAAAACAATGTACTAAAAGAATTTTGTATATTGTAACTGGCTAGATGGAATTTGATCTTTACTAATACTATTTTTAACTTCATAGTTTATAAGCATCTACATTTTAATTGGAGACATGTTCTCATACTTAATATGTGATCTCTTGACTTCAAAAATAACTATCTAAGCTAATTTTCCAACAATAAGTTTTGTTCTATAAGGACTATTGTAGCGTATTGACGATATTTTTCATTGAATTAATACTATTCCCTATGAGCAAACTATTCAACATGGAACATCTCAAGAAATATTTATAGTACGAACGATATCAAAATTTAATATTGACGAATAGTGTGACAGTTCTAATGAAATGAGTGAATGTATTTTTTATTAAACATACAGCCAATACTCGTTCAGTCATTTCTGTCTATGTCTGATTTGATTTCTTCTGAAGATCATCTACAAAAATTGTCATTACAAAATTTAAAGAAAAGAATACAGAAACTTCAATACAGTATCATTGACTTATGCAAAGTACTATTGGAATAACTTGAATTTTTTCTTAAAACAGTATTTATATCTTACGTATAATTTCAAATGATGACAAAAATGTATTCTTAGAATTTTGCAACGTCTCAATACAAATATTCTTTGATTATCATCGTTTTCTCATCATGACACTCGATTTCGTTTCTTTGAAAAATAAAATATTGTAAATCAACTTGTTTATTTGTTACATATCCACGTTAAATTTTTTTTTCCATAAAAATAAAAGAAAAAACTCGTTAGATGTCTTTATCATCATCATCAAATGAACATTGGCTTATCGTCACTATGATCAATAACAAAAGAAGAAGAAAAAACAAGTTCATACTCAATGTGTCAATCAATATCAACCGTATCACAATACATAAGCACCAGTTCCCGACTATTCGTCCTATTTTCCCGTATCTAACCGAAAATACTGCTGTCTTTTTGATCTATTTGATTGTTTTCAGAAAACAAATTCTATGTATACCAGCGAATCTCTTTTCAAAGGATATCATTTGAATCTTTAAAATCTAAATATTCCGATGGTTGTTGAATGATCAATATCAGTACAAACTACCAAATGGTCTGTTGTTCCTTTTTCCTCTTTGATCATTGTCAATCAACAGATGAGCTTAGGTGTATTAATTAGTCTGTCCTTTTTTCTATCTTTTGATGTTCTTCTGTCGATTATTATTGTCTTCTGTATTATGATTGGCGAGGAAAATTAAAAGACATTTTTCTTTTCTATGAATAGTGATGTTTAATATTCGAATTGCTATCATTCGTTTAGAAATCATTTGCAATTATTCATCGTTATACATTTAATAGGTTAAGTAATCTATAATTCTTTTTTTTGTGTTCAGTTACTTGCTTGTTATTTATTCTATTTAGGATTTCTCTTATGGATCCATATTATTCATCACCATCATCTTATTATTATCAACCATCATGTCCGTTACATGATTCATCTTCATCATTTTTATCTGATTCTTATACTGATCCTTATTCATCATATCCATCTCAATCAACATCATATTATTATCCATCTTATAATGATCAAACATCATCACCAATTCTTTTTTATAATAATTCAACAACTAATATTTATGCTCAACCAACACATTCATTTCCACAAACGAATATTCAAGTTTCTTCAACAAATACACAAACTATTCGTGCAACATCATCATCATTAAATTCAACATTTGAATCTGGTATGATATATATTATTATTATCATATTTTGTATTGAACGATTATATTTTAGTTCCACCACCAGGTCGTCGTCGTCGTCAACGAACTATTTTTTCAAAAGATCAAGTTGATATTCTTGATCAAATCTTTGAACGAAATCAATATCCTGATATACAACTTCGTGAACAATTATCTGAACGACTTGATGTTCCAGAAGCTCGTATTCAAGTATGAATAATTTATAAAAACATAAAAATATTTACTAATTTTTCTATTATTATAGGTATGGTTTAAAAATCGTCGTAGTCGTGCTCGTACAACAACCAAAACTAAATATCAAAATAATTAAATCGTCGAATTTATTTCACGTGTGAACTTCTGTATTTGTTATTTTAGTTAATAAAATTTTGTTAAGAAAAAAACGTTTTTTATATATCTAATTGAAGCTTGATGTGAAAAGATACAGCTGCTTTTGTTGCTTAGACGGTAAAGAAGAGGGCAGTTTCTTATTATGAAGATAAGTAGCATGAGTGATATAGAACAAATTTTTATTAATGATCAAGTTCGTCTGTTAAGAAAAAGTCGGTTTGCTAGTTGTTGTGTGACAATTAGTTTACTTATTGCTCCGATCATATGTATAGTTGTAATATTGCGAACAAGCAATAAAGTTGTAACAGAATTAAAACAGGATTTATTATGGTTTCCTTCAGCAGGTAGTGAATCATGTATACGTTTAATGGATATTGATGGTGATGGACTTGATGATGTTATTGTTTCATTAACTGATGTAACAACAATTGCGAATGAAGAGAACAAAGATGAAAATCATTCTTTATTTTGTAAGTCATTAGATGTTGAAGAACCATGTAGTGGTACTGTATATGGTATACGTGGTCATGATTTTAAAATATTATGGTCATTTCGAATTAAACAATCTATATTCGAACTTGTTTGTGATATGATTGATATTAATAATGATGGTTATAATGATTGTATTGGTGCCGGACGCCAAGCTACTGTAGTCGCATTTGATGCTCGTCATGGTAAAGTTATTTGGGATAGTAGACAAATAAAATCACGACATTTATTATGGAATTTTTATAATCCTATACTTCTTTCAACTGATGTTGATCACGATGGTATGAATGATATATTGATTTCACATGGTGGTAATCCAACAATACCATCGAACGTACATGAACGTGAAGCAGGTTGTTTAATAATTATATCTAGTCGAAGTGGACATCAAATAGGCGAACCATTTTTTATGCCAGATGGAAAAGAAACATATATGTCACCCGTTTTATATGATAAATCAACTGTACTTTTTGGTACTGGCGGTGAAACAGTAGCAGGTGGCTTATATAGTATATCAATAGATAATATTGTTCAACAAAAAAATCAATATGTAACATTAGTTAAATCATTTACGAAAGGTATTATGGTACCGCCAATTGTTCTCGATATTGATTATGATGGAATTGATGATATTCTTGTTAGTTGTTTTGATGGAACATTAGAATTAATTCATGGTAAAACAATGAGACCATTATGGACAAGGATATTTGATGGATTTGAATTTTATGCTTCACCAGCACCAGGTGATTTTAATAGTGATTCATTTGTTGATTTTATGATCATAATTAATTATGGTAAGATAATTAAAGATTGTAGAAATAATTAGATAATATTTTTTTTGTTGAATATCTAGGTGAATGGGATCGTTATGATTATAGTCAAGTATTAGTTATTGATGGTTTAACAGGTGAAACAATTTGGACAAGGAATAATACCTTTGGAGAATTTACTGCTCCATTAACATTACAAATGAAGAAAAAAGGTAAATATCAAGATAGTTTTATTTATCGACAACGTGGTCAAACAACTGAACGTGAATATTCGAATGCATCAGCGATATTAATTCATGGAATTGGTCTTCAAGATGGAGAAATTTCGAAGTAGATTTTTAAAAACACTTTAATCATACTTTTGTTTTTTATGAAATTATTATTATTTTAGAGATGATAACTCAATCTCATTGAATTCAAATGATCTATGTGATGCATTCAAACTAAATGAATCAATTAGTAATATATTTCTAACAAATATTGATGAAACTCGTTTAATCGCTACAATTTATCCTCCAATAAATGACGAAAATGATATTTGTAGTCAATTCGAACCTATGGAACGATTCGGAGGCGCTATCGGTGATGTTAATGGTGATGGTATTTTCGATACAATAGATCTAACAACATTTATTACCAAATTAACATCACATAGTTTAGAAAATTTTATTGTTCATTCCGTTTTAACAAGATTTTCATTGGATTTATCCAATAATGAAAATCAAATAGTCGCAAATTATCAAGCAGATATATCAAATAAAACAATCAACAATAAAAAACTTGTTCATTTATTAATCGATAAAAATTCTTCACTAACAAAACCATCTCTTCATAATAAAGATTTATCTGTTATTCCCAAACAAACATGGAACGCTTATTTAGGTCGATTTGCTAACAGTCATTATTATCGAAATATTTAATTCTATAAATGTAAATTTATTCTTAAAATAAATCATCGTGAATATACTAAATATAGAGTGCAAGAAAAAAGAAAGTCAATTGTTATTATTAAACAATAGTAAACATTGGTGGAATTGTTTGAATTATTGATCCACTTATATTCGAAATAATTTGTGTTGTTAATGAATAATTATATAAAACATAAACATTATTTTTTAAGATACTAACTTGACCATCTGTTAAATTAGCTAGTTGAATATAGATCGGTATAGTTGTTACATTACTTAATTGATTTATTAATTGATTACTTCGTTGATTCATACATTGATTATCACAACTTGTAGAATAATTTACTAAAAAATCGACTATGACATGAATTGTACTATTTAAATACCTAGAAGAAAAATATTATCTTTATTTTTCATCTGAATTTCTCTACCAAAATTGTAACGTAATATGATTGATTGTAATATTAAGTGCATTAGACCCATTAGTAAATTGAATTTGTCGTTCAATCTTATGAAATAAATAATAGACATTGATAAGAAAAATATTATATCTTACTATTTGTAGTAATTCAGAATACATTGTCATGGCTCCTTGAAAAGAAACTGGTCCATCATTTTGATTTGCTGAATTTTGTGTAAGTGCTTCATCTAATGTAGCAAAATAATTACTTTTTGATGTTGTAACAATTAATGTATAATTATTTGCAAGAAATTCTATAGAAATTAATTGATTTTCGTTTTTTTTAATTATCAAAAAATTTATTTCTACGAACTATTACTAATTTGAATTGATTGATTTGTTGCACTATTATCGATTTGATTAATAAATTGTGATTTAGACACAATTTCTATACAAAAAAAGAAAATAAGGATTGAAATAGATTCATAACATACTTGTAATAATTATTATATCTTGAATCGGAATATTTGGAGTATAAACGATCGTTGGATCAGAAAGTGTATACGAAAGATTTGAGTATTGAATAAAAAAATTTATGCGTGTCGACAATTGATTATTGGAACCTAAGCCTTGAAATATATTTAATTGACGATTTTTATCACAGGATATACACTCTCGTGTATACACAATCAAGAAATCCAACGTAACACTAGAAATTAATAGTATAATATATATATATATATACTAATTTTACTATACCTCATATTAGTTGTATCGCTAGTATTTGATGTCATATCTAATATTGAAATATTAAATTGATCTCGATTATCACTAGCTTTTAATTGTTGTTCTAACTATATGAAATTATTGTTTTTTTGTCGATAGTCATATTTAACTTACTGCGTATTGTATTGATATATTTGTTACCATTTGAGCTTGATCTAATGTTAAATTATTGGTTAATGGTGATGTTAAATCTCGTTTTCCTAATGCTCGACTCATATATAACGTATAATTATCCATTCTAACAGCTTTAACAAAAAAAACACGAGACTTTTCTTTTTGTTCTTACGAAAATCAATATTTCCTACTAGTTAGAACAAAATTCGTTTTTTCTACTGATTTATTTTCTATATAAATCGGAATAATTGACAGGACAATCATTGATGCCATGCAAAATGCGAAACCAATAAATATAAACATTGTTAATGAAGGTATCATCATTTGTAACCAATATTTTCTAAGAATAATGATATGTCAATATTAATAATTGTTCTGCAGAACTTACATTGATTCAATTGTTTGTCTTGTTGATAAATTCATAGTACGATTGATAATTATAAATAAAATTTTCTTGAACAATTTATAGTCTCCTTTTTTTTCTCTTAATTTGATTGTATGATAAACATATGAATAATATACCTTTTACGAACATTTTTACTTTTTAGATATTCATAATTGATATTTATGATTTAGAACATTAGATTGGGCTTCTTTTTTTTCTTGTTATAAGAATGTAAATGTTAGAAATAAAATGATTGGTATCATATTACTTAAAAGAAGTGTTTGTTACGAATAACTTTTCAAAATGAAAATATAAGTGACTTTTTACTTGTAGTAGACACGAACAAATTGAATTAATGCAAGGTTATAAAAGAACAAGTGAAGCATTTATTGATAGAAAACGACAGACATTTAAAAGTAGTAATGTTACATTAATTAATGAACAAAATGAAATAATTCATCATGATATACTTAATTCAATTGTTCAGTATGATCCAAAACTTGATTTTACTTGTATACCAATTATGACTCATGATCCAATTCTTAAATATATACGTCGACAAACATATGGTTTAATTTGGAATTCAATTCGATCACCAACTATAAGTAAACTCGTACAGAATGATCGATCTTATGCATTTGTAGAAATTCTTCAAATACCAAAAACATGGTCACGTTATGATATTGATATTCTTCTTCTAAAAATTCAAAAGAAAAATTTTCTTAATGGTCTTGTTCTCCGTGATGAATTTGTGCGTGTACTCCAAATAGTACTTAAAAATAATTATTCTTACAAATTTTACAATATTAATTTTACTCGAAATACGATTCAATTAATATTTCATAGTCAACAGGAAACAAATGTAACACTTATTATTTCTTTTATACTTTTAATTGAATTTGATATTCCATGTATAAAATTTTTTCCTGCTGATATATATACATCTCTTTGTAATCATAATGATATCGAAGAATATTTTAAATCGAATTCCGATATTAAACTAACACGTTTAACATCATATAATTCAATAAAATTTCATTTTGATTATAATATCACGGAAACAAAATTATGTGAATATTTATTAGAAAAATCAAATTCATTATCATTAATATTAAACAATTTTTTAAAATTACGAAAACAATGGTTAAAATATGTTCCACATGTAGCAAATATAATTAAAAGACAAATACATTATCGTCCATCAATATGTTCAATTAATTCTCTACAATCCATAACATCAAATAATTCAGGTATAAAAACTATTTTCTTATTGAAATTTCATAATTTTATTTTATAGAATTTATGCCAAATAATATTTCATTATCAAAAGAAATTGAAATGCAATTTGAATCTTTATTTTCTCTATCATTAATTCGTTTATTATTTTTAACTATTTGTTCACAATATAAACAATTCGATAATTATACTATTGAACATGCTTTAGAATTATTTAATGATGCGCTAGAAAATAATTATCTTGAACTTCCATTTCTTAAAAATATAAATACTTTACCAGATTGTGAAATAAATATTAAACATGGAATAAAAAAAATAATTAATGAAATGCAGCGTGATTGCAAACAACAAATATATCGATAATAAACTTCTTAAAAAAATTTGTTTTTCTGTTTATTGCATGTTTTTATATTTTTATATGTTGAATAAAAACAGGAAAACAATGCAGTTGTTTTCATGAGAATTATTACTCGAGAACCTAATCAGTCAATATATATGTATTTGCATAGGAGACCTGTTGCTCTTTTATAATCATAACAGAACACACTATAATAGAAAAATAAAAAAGATAACCTTGAGCCTTCATTTATGCCATTTTAAAGAAGAAGAAGAAGAAGAAGAATAGAAAGAGAGAATATTAAAAAGCGAAAGATCGATAAGCAACTAACGTGTATTTTTTTGTCAACATAAGAATCCATCAGTCAAACTCACGTGTATATTTATTTCTCTAGTGACATATTTTTTTTCTCTGAAATAAGTTTACGTATAAACACCTCCGCTTGTTTCTTCCTGTTGGTATTTTTTATAAAAAATAACCAGACGGCTTCTTCGCTTCGTCATTATCATCATCACTATTTTTTTTCCCTCTCTCTCTCTCCTTCTTGCTTTTTTTCTTGTCATGCACCTTTTTATGAATGACGAAACGACGACAACAACGACATCCCTCCTGACAACGACACTGAGGTGGAAAGTATAAAGAAAGTTGACGTCAAAAGTAGGCAACAAACAATTGACATTCAAACAGAAACATTCATATAATCTTTTTGACGACAACAAAAAACAACTATGCTTGCATCATTCATGTAGTTAAAACAATACATAAGGTAAGCGCACATATATTCCCAATGAAACATATATAATTGATATTTAAAAAGAAACGCTTTTTTTCTATTTAAGAATTATGTAGTCAGATTAACGATTAGTATATTTTCATGTCCTTGTAATATATATATTAGATATGTAATAGTATACTTGCGTCAACTGTAGAGAGAGAGAGAGGAAAAAATCAATTTATTTTTTTTAAATTATTTATTAAACCTTGACTTTATTGGAACTATGTATTCTTTTCTTTTTATTTGTATCCGATTATTGTTGTGAATTAATCATTCCTTCTGTTGCTACGTGCTATTCGCAAAAAATAATCATTTGTCGGATGCCGCCAGACGGCGCATTTTTTATAACATAGATTCTCTTTTTTATTGATACACGGACAAAAAAAGAGGCGATTGTAGTAAAAGAGAAAAGATTAACTAATAAAATAAATGGCACAATAAAACGCTTCAATAAAACAATGAACTATAATCAGAAGTAGATCTTTCACATATTTGAAAGAAATACTTGATTTTCCTCTCATTACTATAATGTGCTCTTGAAAAATATCTCTTGAAAAATTTTTTTTTTATAACCTTCGTTTGTCGTCATAATAAATTTAAAATGTATGAACATAAAGAAACAATAGAAGAAATTAGAAAAGAAGAATCAACACTTTGTGACAAACAGAGAACAGCTTATTTTAATATGTTTAAATGCATATAGATATTATTTTTCTTTTAAACAATGAAAATGAATAGGTTATTATGCTAACGGGTAGGTCGTTTATTTTTTCTTCTTTAACTTTGAAATTATAATCTTTCATTGTCATAATCGAAATGATAATGTGTGAT